GAAAAAAAAAAAAAAAAAAAAAAAAAAAAAAAAAAAAAAAAAAAAAAAAAGATTTAACTTACCAATAATTTTTCTATCTATTTCCATTCCTTTTAAATTTGCTTGAAGTGAAAGTCATCTTCAATCTTTCTCTCCCAAAATCTGTGATCTTTCCCTTGTTTCTTTCTCCCATTTTTTCCCTTCCCAAAAATCTGCCATTTTTTTGTTTCTGTTTAGTTTTTTTTTTTCTTTTGCAGTCGTACGAGGTATTGGGGAGATATTTGGAGAAGGTGGAGAGAGAGTCTATAATTTATTTATTATTTTTTTAATTATTATTTACTTATTATTATTATTATTATCTTTTTTTTTTCTTTTTTCTCTTTTTTTTTCCGGGTCGTTACACACTAAATGAACACGGTTGTCCATGAAATTTTAAAGCTGAAGATAATATGACATGTTGAGGGCATATATTAAATTTGTAGTCATTGGATAAAGATAATTGGCTAAACCAATAAATAATGCAAATGACCAAAATGCCCCCATGACGGTTGTCTTCTGTTCAAGACCTAAATGACCTCTAAATAACATGAAATTTTGTAATCGACCTTGTTTCATGATGATCAAGGATTATGTAAAGTTTCAAACTAGTTAGAACACGTTTAGAGGCTAAATCAAGACTTATAAATAAAATGACTAAAATGCCTTTAGGTTACCTTTAGATATTTCAAAGTTCACGTGTCCTTAAATAACTTAAGACTTTAATAAAGGTTTATACATGAGAACATAAAGATCTATATATTGGAGTTTAAGTTACTTGGATCAAATTTAGAACTAAAACTAAATTAGGGGAAAAGTTAAGGCTTAAAGGAAATAATCCTTGTGACTCTAATCAAGATTCGTTATTATGATGAGTTCTTAATTTATGAGATTGTTGTTGGCCATAAAAAAGTATTTTATGACTTAAGCCTCAATAATTATTACCTAAGAATACATGAAACTAATGGAATGTTCTGAGGACAAGAACTAAGGAAAAGACCAACACAAGGCGTATAGGAATTAAGAAAATAAGAATGTTTGGTACCACTCAAGAATAAAGGACCAAGGTTCTCGTGTCCTATGGTACAATGTGTTCATGACTCATACTACATCACTGAAAACGTAACAAATTTTGGATGTAGGTGGTCCTCATGTCCTATGGTACAATGTGTTCATGACTCATACTACATCACTTGAAACATAACAAATTTTGGATGTAGGTTTGCAGACTGCAGTGCTTGGAAGGTAAAAAGTATAGGATGTAGATTTGAGACTAAATTGCTTACAATGTATGAAACCTTGGGTGTAGGTATTCAGACTACGACGCTCAGAACATATGAAACATTCAACATAGGTATTCAGACTACACCGTTAGAACGTATGAAGCCTTTGGTATAGGTCTACATACTACATCACTTGGAAGGTAAAAAGTTAGGGATGCAGGATTCAGACTACATCGCTTTATTTGTAAGAAGCCTTAGGTGTAGGTTTTAGGTTGTATCGCAGGAAATGCATAAAGCCATGGGGGCAGGTTCAGAATATGTTGCTTGGAACACAAGAAGCCTTGAACGTAAGAACAAACTGTGTCTTTTGGAACGAATGAAACCTTAGACACAGATTGTCGCATTTATTACTCATACCGTACATATCAGAGGAAATGTCTTATGCAACAGAAGAAGAACTAAGGAAAAGAACTTTGAACCTTAGAACTAAAGTTTTTAGATCAGAACACAAGTTAAGACCTTATATCTCAGAGCCAAGGTTCTTAGGGTAGATCATGAAAAGAACTTAGAAAGCTATGATAGAATTTAAGGTCTAAGTTCTAAAGACAAAAACAAGAATCGAATCCAAGTATCTTATAGAAGAGACACAACTCATCAAATCCAATGACCAAATTCAAAATAGAAATCAGTTTCCCACTAATCATAGAGAATATATATTGTAAAAATTTTATGAACTCATTCTCAAATTCACGGCAATCTAGAAGTTTTATTGTTGGTTTAAGCTCCCTCTATAAAACCTGAAGTAGGGGTTTTGGTTTGGAAAAAGAATCGAGTTAATTGAGTCTTCAACTATGAGTTGTTACAGCCACTAAAATTTTGGATTTTTTTTTATCAGATTTATTCTAAATTTGGGTGTCATAGTCAACCATTTTCCTTCAAATTTTGCTTCTACTCCTTTTAAATGAGATTACCCACAAGTTTGGTGAAGAAATAAAGTGTTGAAGGTGCCTCAAACACAACTTCCCAATTTGGTACATTATTAAAGGAAGAAGGTTGAAGCTCGAACATTAAATCTGAGCCTACACGCAAATTTGTCAAGAGAGACATATCTTGTTCGATTTTTGCACCCCCAAGGAATATTTCCATAGAAGACCACGAAGGTTAACAAGACTTAAAGTGTGTCCAATTGAAGAAAATTATTTTCGTGTAAACTTATGGGGTAAGAATCAAAATCTTACTTATAATCCATTTTCTTCCAAATTGAGTCTTTCTTTAGCTTTAGAAGATTAAATTGAGCGCTTTTGATGAAGAAATCGAGAGTTAATATGTCCTAGATCAGGTTGCCTGAGGAAACAAAATTATGCTTTCTTGAATAAATTGGGATGATCAAATTCCAAAATTAAGACCAAGAGAAATCCGAAATCTTTTAGATTGAAAATTTCATGTGTATCCATAGAGAGTTCTATTTAAGTAAAGAAATATGGGAAAAGGATATGATCAAATTCCAAAATTAAGACCGAGAGAAATCAGAAATCTTTTAGATTGAAAATTTCATGTGTATACATAGAGAGTTCTATTTAAGTAAAGAAATATGGGAAAAGAGATTGAAAATTTCATGTGTATCCACTGAGAGTTCTATTTAAGTAAAGAAATATGGGAAAAGGACCCACCAAGATTTAACCCACAAGTATTTATAAGATTTGTGTGTAATAAATCTATGAACTTTAAAAAAATAATATATTTATTTCTTATAGATCTTATGAGTGTAATTACATGTAAATAAAATATATATGGTCAAGACTTAGATATGATATACGTGTAAATAAAATATATATGGTCAAGACTTAGATATGATATTTATCCATCATTATCTCATATTTTGCATTACTACAATTTTGTGTATTTAACTCGATTAGGAAAGGAGAATTAATGTGCAAGAATCATATCACTATACCAAAGGCTCACTTGTGACAAATTTTTTTATTAAATGTATTATTACTTCATTCATTTATTTGATTTGGACATTAAAGAAAACCATGTGCAAATATTATTATCATACCTTTTAGTTTTAAACAGAGACATAGTTTGATCATTCTAAAATTATTTATACAAATAGGTGTAATAACAATTATAGAATGTTAAGATTTGGATAGACAATTTCAATGGATTAAAATCTATATTTTTTAGTACCCAAGTGGTTACTCCTCTGCCTATACTTTCATTAACTACTTATAGGCTTATATGTTAGAATTATTTGTTTTTTTTTAGGTTGGGTAGAAATATAGGGAGAAAGTGGATGATTAGATGTTCTATACTATATTTGTGAAAATTAGTGGGTACTAATTAATGTTATCCAATCTCTAAAAAATTATGTTTTTTATTAAAATAAATCTCATTCTGTCAATAAGGATAAGATCAGATGTTTATTAATATAGTTCCTATTTATTAAATGCATTACTCATCAATAAAAATGGGTAGAGTAGTTTCTAGGGAAAAAAATAATTAAAGCAAGTACCTTATGGAAAAAAAGTCGTCGATGTTATTTTCAAGTTAGCATGTAGGTAATTGTAGTCGATACATTGTCTGCAGAGCTTCAACTTCCCTTTCAACTCCAGTATGGAACCTTTGAGTTAGGCGTGAGGTTGGTTATGGATGTGTCACTTGATAGTTTATTTGATTGTCTTGCCCAATGACTCTGTCCTATAGGAGGATGTTGATCATGCGGGTTGTCAATGATTTCCAAGATAGCATTTAGGCTGATAGTAGACTCAATAAGTAGCCTACTTGTAGGCTCTTAATCATTTCCTTGGTATTCTAGGGTATAATACTCTTTCTTTTCTTGTTTGGGTTCTTGTTGCAAGTACTTAGGCTCCTTTAGTTATGTTTTTGACTTGTGATCGTGATCTATCCTAAGGACCTTGGTCCTAGGATTCTGAGGTCTCAACCTTGGTTTTGATCTAAGGGCCTTAGTACTATGGTTCTGGGTTCTTGTTTTTAAAATTTAGATCTTGATCCATGTTCTAGTCCTTGATCGTTGTCTCGTTCACGGTTACTTTTTAGGTTCTTGGTTCGTTCTCTAAGACACTCCCCATAGGATTTATGTTATCAGTCATGAACTTGACAATATATGTCCAAGGCTTCATACGTTTCAAGAAACATAGTTTGAACCTGCATCTAGGGCTTGCCATATGATACTATCTGAAAACCTACATCCAAAGTTTCTTACATTCCAAGCGATGTAGTCTGATTCTACATCCATGGCTTGCCTTATGATACAACTTGAATACCTATGCCCAAGGCTTCCTGCGTTCTAAGCGGCATAGTCTGAATACCTATGCTCAAGGTTTAATATGTTCCAAGTAGCATAGTCTAAAATCTTTCATCTCGTGTTTGCTATGTGATACAGCTTGAATATCTATGTCCAAGGCTTCATACATTCCAAGCGACGTAGTCTGAATACCTACGCTCAAGGCTCCATAAGTTATAAGCAGCGTAGTCTAAGTCATGAACATTCTATACGATGGGAGGTCTTAGGAATTTCTTGAGTTTCTGTGTCTGAAGACCTTGGTCCCTTACCCTTGAGTAGTACCTAGCATTTTTGTTACCTTGGTAGTTGTAGAGCTTATAAGTTTCTAAGTTTCGTTATTTCTTGAGGCATAAGTTGTAACATGCCATCTTAAGCTTGTGAACCAAGCATAGTAACATGCAAGAGTTATTCTAAAAATTCATAGAGTCATAATATATTATTTATAGAGTTCTAGAAGAATCTTGAATACTCGGTAAGAATTCCTTGAAGTACTTTCCTTTAAGTGTTTAAGGCCCTAACTTGGTTTAGGTTTCAAACTTGCTCAAATCAACATGAAATCTTGAACCTAACCTTCATGTCCTTAGGAATAGACCATATAAAAAGTAGTATGTCATTTGGAGTATGTTTAGATCTTGGTATCATAAAGAGTCCAGGGGCATTTTGATCATTTTACCCCTTAATTCTTAGTTTCGCTACTTAACGTGTTCTAATGACTTTCAAACTTCACATCATCACATTTAGAGCATGAACCGAAGATAACTTACCTTAAGGGTATTATGGTAATTTTACACCATTTCTTGGTAATAGCTACTTAACCTTATCCAATCACCGCAAAATATCATATATAATCTTAACATGTCATAATATGCTCATAATTAAATTTTTATTGGCAACAAAGTTCATTTAGTGGGTTATTTTAACGTTACTTAAATCCCGAGTAATTTGATCAGTATAGAGCCTTAACTCTCGGTTCTTGGTATTTTTCTTTCGTAATTCTTTAAATAATACTTAGTTTAGGGTTCATACAAATATTCAAGTAATTCCTACAAGTATTTTTTTAAAAAAGTCCATGATAGATACTTACCTCGTCGTCGATGTTCTAGTTTCTGGAACCATAAAATATTTCATGAGAAATGGTCTGTAAGAGAGTTAAAATTTAGAAAAATTAATGGAGAGTCATTTTTTTTATATGACATCGTCTAGATAGGAAGAAGTCGCGCGCAACGCATAATGCAGCTACTTGAAAATTCTCCTCCACAACTCCGATCACGGAATTCCCCCCCTCGATTTCTTCATGAAACTTGAAGATGGTGTTACAAGGAACGGCTTGAGATAGGTTTCATACCTTCTCGTGGATTGTAGTCTAAGTTATTAATCTCTAAAGTTCGTCGGAAATAGTTTTCCTCGCCGGAGTTCTACCAAAAAAAACTTATGAGGCAGCCATTTCCAGATGTTATTAGAACCTGATTTATTCATGGAACCTCTTTCTTATTCTTCCCTCAAGCTAAAAGAATTGTTTAGAGGAACTTCTTTCGGTGTATGTAACACCTAAGGCCTCTAATAAGAGGTAATGTATAATCCCTAATAGGTTGTACAAGGTTTTGGAAGCAAATAACCACGAAAATTGAAGAAAAATTTAGAAAATGGAATTTTTTCCAATTTTTATCAAACTTCCAAAAATTTTAAAGTCTTATAGAGGAAGAATTTCAAGGTTCTCATGAAGGAAAAAATGATCATTAAGGGATATAGAAGTTTTGGAAAAATTCTAGATTTTTTTTTAAAAAATAATATTAAAATAGTAAAAATGGCCAAATTACAAAAATGCCCCTGAAAAATATGGATAATTACAAAAATACCCTTTTGGCTAGAATCAAAACTTTCACGCGACCCTCTACCCAAAATCTATTCAATCTCAAAATCTAGCCATTGGATCTCCTCCAGAATTTGACACAATCTAGAACATTCATAGATTGTCTCATTCAAGGGCTAGAATTCAAAACTAAGGTCGGAAAGGCTCTAATCGAAGTAGGTATTTTTGGCGGAAGATCCAAAAAAATCAAGAATAGAATTAATGACAATTCTAGACGTTTGAGGATTATCCATCTTTAAATTATTAGGTAGGGACAACTAATTAGAGCAAGAAGTTAGCTTAATCGAGTCCTCAATCATGAGTTACGATTTTGGGTATCGTGTTCTTGGGTTTTCCTCGAATTTGGAAGCTACAGTTTATCATTCCTCCTCAAACTTGTTTCTTCACCACGTGACTTACGATGAATGCTTGAATAGCCATGGAAATCAGGACAGGGCAGTAGTATGCATTGATTTTCATTTAGTAGTTGATAGAAGGTCTCTTTTTTTTTTTTTTTTTTTGTGTTCAAAGACTATTCAAAATGTTTGCTAAAAGCACCCCACCTAAAATAGACTATTGAAAATGAAAGTTCTCTATTTATAATCATTTACAAAATAGAGATACATAGTAAATTACAAATAATATGGAAAGAGCAATAAAAGGAAAGAATAATAAATGAATACAATATATTTACCTTTAATAAAATGGCAAATATGGTAAGTCTTAATGTAAAGCAAATATCTCGATATTTGCCTTATAATAAACGGTCAACAATCCTTATCACCCCACGCAAGCTGAGCATCGAATTTGAACAAACGTAAAGCTTGGGTCTGAAAAATTCGAAGAGAGGTCGAGAAATACTTTGCCGCCACTTGAAAATTCTCCTCCACAACTCCGATCACAAGATTTCTCCCCTCGATTTCTTCATGAAACTTGAAGATGGTGTTACAAGGAAGGGCTTGAGATAGGTTTCATACTTTCTCGTGGATCATAGCCTAAGTTATTAATCTCTAAAGTTCGTCGGAAATAGTATTCCTCGCCGGAGCTCTACCAAAAAAAAAAAAAAAAAACTTATGAGACAGCCATTTCCAGAGGTTATTAGGACCCGATTTATTTATGGAACATCTTTCTTATTCTTCCCTCAAGCTAAAGGAATGGTTTAGAGGAACTTCTTTTAGTGTATGTAACACCCAAGGCCTCTAATAAGAGGTAATGTATAATTTCTAATAGGTTGTACAAGGTTTTGGAAGCAAATAACCATGAAAATTGGAGGAAATTTTAGAAAATAGAATTTTTTTCCAATTATTATCAAATTCCAAAAAAATTTAAAGTATTATAGAGGAAGAATTTCAATGTGCTCATGAAGGGAAAAATGATCATTAAGAGATATAGAAGTTGGAAAAATTCTAGATTTTTTTTTAGAAAAAAAAATATGGATAATTACAAAAATACCCTTTTGGCTAGAATCAAAACTTTCACGGCGACCCTCTACCCAAAATCTATTTAATCTCAAAATCTAGCCATTCGATCTACTCCAGACACAATCTAGAACGTTCATAGATCATCTCATTCAAAGGCTAGAATTCAAAACTAAGGTCGGAAAGGCTTTAATCGGAGTAGGTATTTTCGGCAGAATTAATGACAATTCTAGACGTTTGAGGATTATCCATCTATAAATTATTAGGTAGTGACAACTAATTAGAGCAAGAAGTTAGCTTAATCGAGTCCTCAATCGTGAGTTACGATTTTGGGTATCGTGTTCTTGGGTTTTCCTCGAATTTGGGAGCTACAGTTTATCATTCCTCCTCAAACTTGTTTATTCACCACGTGACTTACAATGAATACTTGAACAGCCATGGAAATCAGAATAGGGCAGTAGTATGCATTGATTTTCATTTAGTAGTTGATAGGAGGTCTCTCTTTTTTTGTTTTCAAAGACTATTGAAAATTTTTGCTAAAATCACCCCACCTAAATGGTGGTGAAAGTTCTCTATTTATAATCATTTACAAAATAGAGATACATTGTAAATTACAAATAATATGAAAAGAGCAATAATAAATGAATACAATATATTTGCCTTTAATAAAACGACAAATATGGTAAGTCGTAATGTAAGGCAAATATCTAGCTGAGCGTCGACAATCCTTATCACCCCCCGCAAGCTGAGCGTCAAATTTGAACAAATGTGAAGTTTGGATCTGAAAAATTCGAAAAGAGGTCGAGAAATACTTTTTGTGAAGATGTCAGCAACTTGGAGACAGGAATGTACATATTGTGTGCAAAGTTTGCAAGCGATAACAAGTTCTTGAAGGAAAAAATAATTTAGTTCAACATATTTAGCCCGTTTGTGAGAAACGGCATTAGAGTAAGGGCAACTGTGAAATAGAGATCTTGAGGTCAGGCAAAAGATGCGTATCCCAAAGAAGTTCAGCAGCAGTCGTGGCAAGAGCACGATACTCAGATTCTTAGCTGGAGCGTGAGATAGTAGGTTGCTTTTTGGCACTTCAAGAAACGTGATTGTTACCAAGATAAATAGAATAGCTGGATTTAGAACGTCGAGTACTAGGACAACCAGCCCAGTGAGCAGCCGAATAAGCGACTAGCATACTAGGAATAGCTGATGGACGAAAGGTAAGACCAAAGTAGAGTGTTCCTTTGACATAGCGAAGAATACATTTGACAGCAAGAAAGTGATCTGCAGTAGGGACATGCAAGAATTGGCTGACAGAATTGACATCATAAGCAATATCTGGACGCATAATAGTCAAGTACTGAAGGGCGCCAACAAGAGATCTATTGAGAGTAGGATCAGAGAAAGGAGAACAATCAGCAGTCATGTGTTGAGAAACAACCATGGGAGTGTAGACTAGTTTGCTATCGAGGAACTGAGCACGAGTAAGAATATTTTGAGCATATTTTAACTGACTAATAAAGAGACCATAAGAAGTAGGTGAAACTTCAAGACCAAGAAAGTAACTGAGAGAACCCAAATCTTTGGTAGCAAACTCATAATGAAGCTTGCGAGTAAAGCTGTCAATAAGAGATGAGTTGTTGCCAGTAAAATTAATGTTATCAACATAAAAAGGCAAATAGATAAGGTTAGATTGTTGATGAAAGACAAAAAGGGACGTGTCAGCACGACTGCAAGAAAAACCAAGTGTGAGAAGAAATGAGCTAAAATGCTGAAACCAGGCGCGAGGAGCATGCTTTAAGCCATAGAGGGCATTCTTTAATAGACAAACATGAGTGGAAAATCGAGGATGAATATACCCAGAAGGTTGTTCCATATGAACACGTTCAATAAGAGTTCCATTGAGAAAAGCATCCTTGACATCAAGTTGTCAATGAGACCATTTATTTATGACTGCAATAGAAAGCACAACACGGGACAATGGTAGCTTTGATAACCGGACTTAAAGTGTTAGTGTAATCAAGACCAAAAACCTGAGTATAACCTTTGGCAACAAGACGAGCCTTGAAACGC